GCTGTACCCATGTCGCCGGACACTGGAACACGTACGGTATACCAGTGGCGGGTTGTTCCTCAATCCAAGGATGCTTGGAGGGTCGGGGACGACGTCGGGGTGGTGTGGTGCGTACTTTTCCCGCTTCCCGGCGAAGCAGCGGAAACATGTACGCACCAGGATCCCGTAGGCACCAGGTGTTGCCTTGGTGTGCAAGTGACAGCGCAGTGCCAGCGAGAGAGCGTCGGCGCATGGAGCTCGGAATCTCTCGGGCGTGCCAAGCGCCAGGAGTCGCTCAGCTCGAGCAGGCAATGGGCGTGGCGCAGCACCACGACGCGGTGTCGGGCACGGCGAAGCAGCACGTGACGTTCGACTACGCCAGGCGGCTCGCGGCGGGGAGGGCGGCGGCGCTGTCGGCGGTCGCGGGCGCCCTCGGGAACCTCACGGGCGTCGCGCAGGAGTCGGGAGCGCGAGTCGGAAGGAGGCCAGTCGAGGTTGTGGCAGCCCTCCCTGGCGTTTTGTCGCTTGCCCCCTCTGGCTCCTGGAGGGGGCCGCTCGCCGCGACGGCCAGGGTCCGCGTCGAGAAACAACGGCTTGAGCGGGGCCGAGGGTCAGAGAGCGTTTTCCCCTGCGGGGCTCACACAAGGGACGGCAGGGTGGTGAAACGCCTCGCCGGCCAAGCCGACGGAGACGTGCAAAGTCCAACCGTTCGCTCAAGTCCAGGGTTTCGGCTCGACGCCGGGTGTGGCGCATCAAGGGCAGCCGGACCCAGCAGCTCGGTTGCGCCCTTCGACGCTGGCCAGGAGTTGTTGTGTTCTGCAGACCTGACCCCCCAGACGTACTCCACAAGCGGGTCAGGATGGACCCCGGGAGGGGCCCTGGGGCGGATTGGGAGCGGTTTTGGGCCAGGCGGGAGAGCCGCCGATGTCGCGACTCGCGAAGTCTTCCTCCGACGGGAGGCAGGTCGCTCCATCCCCTCTCACGACTGGGGAAGCCTCTCGGCCCGCTGTCCGGCCCGGGTGGGGGCGGATGCCCTTTCCCTCGGGCTCGTGGCATCCATCCTCGTCTGCTGGGGAAGGGCTGGCGGCGCCGAGGAGCCCAAGCCCACGGGGGATGGGACGGGGTCTGACGATGGTGAGGCTTCACGCTGCACGCAGTCGGCCCCACAGGTAGTCCGGGTTGGCCTCAGCATAGCCTGGGGTGATGGGCCTGTTTTCCACCACCCCCCACCAGAAGTTGGAGGGGGGAAGGAGGCGGAGGATGAGGAGGAGGAAGAGGAGGAGGAGGAGGAGGAGGAGGAGGAGGAGGAGGCCCCCCTCCCCCCCTACTTGTGGTGGTGGCGGTGGAAAACCAGCCCACCACAGGACGTCTCAGCACTTCACCCCTGGGGCGCGGAGCGCCACAGGGGCGCCGCCCGAGGCGGCGCCGGGGTGCGGAGACCGCCGCGAGCTGATTTCTCGGGGGGCACGTTCAGGCCAGCCGGGGCTACCTGGGGGGGCGCTGTCGGCCAGGCTCAGGAGGGGAAGAAACACACAGACACAATCAATCGTCGATTCCCGGGAAAAGATGCGAAACTATGGGAAGTGGTGGGGAAGAGAAAAACCCAGAACATATGGGAAAATATGGGGAATCTGTTTATTTGTGTGTGTATTTATTTGTGTGTCCCAGGGCCCCTTTACAGGCGATCGCAGGCATGGATTAAGGGGGCGTGGATTAGCGACGGGTGCCGTCTCCATGGGAACTCGCGGAGTGCCGCCGCCGAGCGGGGCGGCACCAGCCGCACTTTGGGGAGAGCATCTCCCCCGATCCATGGATTTGGCGACCGCGCGCCAAATTCATCGCTCGCTCGTCCATGTTCATGCGCCCCCGAGTCGGTGCGCAGCCCGAAGAAGCCTCACCAGTCTGACGCTGCTGCAGGAGGGCGCCGGGTTCACCATGTGTGACCTCAGGAACGTCTCCGTGTGCGCGCCAACGCAGGCGGTGGTCGCCGAGGGCGCCAGTGGCGTCGACTTCGTGCTGTGGAACGGACTCTCCCAGGCCCTGGGCAGTTCCAAGGCGTTTCCACTACAGTAGGGGTTCAGCAGCGCCCTCTGGAAAGCGAGGTTCCAGGCCAGGGGCAGGAACATGACCGTGATACGATGTTCGCGGGTGTCACGACGCACAGTTTAGTGGACATCCTTCCATCTGGGTTCGCGTGCATGAGACGTTCAACCAAACAAGTAAATTGTCTTTGGGGCGAAGTCCCCCATCATTCAGTGCATGTGTATGCGCGGCTCCCACCAGGATCGAAGTCCGAGTAGAGGGTTCTGCGTGTGGGGGGCCGTTTTGGAAGGTTCTGGCGTGCTCTTGGGGACCCAGTTCATCCGTGCCGCGCGCGCCCGGAGTCTCGCTCATCCGGGCCGGGCGGTGAACGTGGCTGGGGTCCCGCCCCCCCCTCTTGGAGCAGCCCCTCTGGATTTTCGTCCGAGCTGGTCGTCCCCGGACCGTCCAGGGGCGCCGAAAAGCGCGCGCGAGGCGCTTTTGCAGGGACGCCTGAAAGGATGCCTGGACCTTCTCGAGGAAGTGGCGACGCCCCGTAGTTCGCCACCCACCAAGCCACAAAGTCCAACCCGAAGGCCCCAATTTGCCTTCGATCTCAAGTGGGGAGGGGGGGGGGTCGGGGAGCATTGAAAAACACATGTGGAAGCCGTACAGTGTGGGCCCATGCCAAGAATTACCTTGCTTGCCTCCAGGGTGCCCTGAGCTTCTTGGGTTTCGATGGTTCTGCCATGGAAAACGTGACCTTCCCACACCAAAAATGATTGCACGCCCTGGGGTCTCAGGGTCGGGCCCCTGCTGTACACCACCCAGCCCGAACACTGGGCCTTCGGGGTAGACTGGGGAGGTCTGGCAGGTGGCCAGTAGTGGTGACGCCCACGCGGGCACTGGCCCAAAGGCCAGGACCGAGCTGGTGGAGCTGCCCGTGGGCAGCAGCAACGTGAGCGTCACGGACGGCAGCGGCGCCGCGCTGCCCGTGCAGCTCGTCGCGTCCCTGCCCTCCGTCACGAACTACGCCGAGGCCCGAAGGAGACGCGAACTGCGCACGGCATGTTCGCGTCGCGTCGACCCACGGCGACCCTGGCGCGGGTGTTCGACGTTGAGCGCCGCTGGGGGCCCAGAATCGGTCGACGTTGAGGGATCGGGCGTTTCGGAAACGACAGATCGTTCAAGTTTGAGCGATGCCCGCGGTGTCAAGAACCAAAGCCGAAGTCGGCACGGCACGAACCTGCCGTACGGTCGGGCCAAAGTATATGATCGAGACCGGTTCCGGGAGGGTGCCCTACAGTCCACCCGCATAGTAGTTAATGGGGATGGGCAATTTCCCAAGCCCAGACATGATCGCGTCGTACAAGAAAGCAGGAAGGGAGGTTTTGGCCTTTTTCGGCCCCTGAGGGCCCTCGCCGGGCCTCGGGACAGGATGAAAAACGGATCCCAGGGAAAGGGTCGGGACTTCCAGGGCTTTGTGGGCCCCAGAAACGGCAGGGCCGTTTTTTCACCGTTTCCCCAAAAATGTCCATTGAAAATGGAAACGGCAAACAAAAAACGGCGACCGGAAACGGCCAAAAAAACGGCTCCAGGATTGGAACCGGAGCCGGAACCGGTCAAAAAACGGCGACGGAACCGGTAAAAAAACGGCGTCGGAACCCACAAAAAAAATGCAAAACGGAACCGCTAAAAAAATGGCCTTGTCGTTTCCAGGGCCCACTAAGTTCCAGGGGCCCCGTATAGAAAAAATCAGGACGTCGCATGTCTGGGAGGATACCCTTGCACCTTTTGCCCCTTCAGCCCATCCTTGGCGACTCTCGCTGGCCAGCCTCGCTCGAGACTTGCTACCGTGGCCCTCCGAGGCCCTTGCCTCCTTACCGCGCATCTTTCTGATACGGGTTGGCTGAATGATCTTCGTGCTCGTTGGATGTTCTTGGGCATCCTGGGGGAGGGTACCCTCCCTGTAATCTAATGGTTTTGAGTGTTTTGGCCAGCGGAGGATCGCATGTTCTCGAAGGATGTTGTTCTGTCCCAGGCCCCACCGTACGGTAGGGTCGCGTCGTGTCGGCTGGCGGCGACCCCGCCGCATGCGTTCAACTTTGCACGCCACTGGCGACCCAGACTCGGTCGATGCTGAACAATGGGGCGTTTCCGAAACGTTCAAGGTTGAACGGCCCCCGCGGTGCCAGGAACCAGCGCCAGGGTCGGCACGGCACGAACCTGTCACAAACAAAACATCCTTGCCCTCCCCCCGTCCTCCCTCCTGAGCTTGACGACGGCCTCACGCCGCGTGCAGTGGACGCCTCAGCTCGGGATGTGCTGCGACAGTGCTCTTGGGTCGCTGCTTCGGCCAGGGCGGTACAGCGCTGCCTAGGGCAGCATCGGCCCTCACCCCCTCGCGACTGGGGTTGCGGATCGGCTTCACGATCTAGTTTCACTCGGCTCGTGGTGCGGACGGACCGCGCGCGAGCGAAGACCGCGTTGATGTTGTGCTGAGGGGGGGCACCAAGCTGCATGCAGTGGAGACCCATGCCAAGTAACACCCTGCTTGCCTCCAGGGTGCCCTGGGTTTCCTTGCGTTTCGATGGCTCTGCAGTGGAGAGCGTGACGTTCCCACACCGAAGATCCATGGACGTCCTGGGGTCTCAGGGTTGGGTTTCTTGTGGAAGGTTTCTTGCCGTCCGCCTCCGCCGTGGCCGTCTCCTCGGGCCTCTCCCTCTACAGGAGGAAGATTCAAAAATAGTCCTCCAAATAGTCAGGGGAATCTGTTCTGAGTGTTGTTGAGCATGAGTATTTCTTTGGTAGTTCTTCTTATCTTCCCTCCAAGGTCGAGCGATCTTTGGCTCCGGGCCATCTGCAGCCGAGACCGTTCTGTGGTTTCGAGCGACCCGCGCCCGAGAACGCGCGGCGGGACCCCCCCCAGGGGAGTCGGAGGTGGATAGACCTCCTATTCTGACACGTCGGTTACGGAATTGTCCGTGTTCGCTTCGCGAGAGGGCGTCGCGGCCGTCCATTTTTGCGGGTCCAGATCCGTTGGCTTCGGTCCCAGGCCGTTTTCACTAAGGGGAGGTCTACGAAAGGCAGGTTTGTCCACCGCCGAGGCAGGGGGGCCGCGGCATGCTTCGCCGGGGCCCGGCGGCGGCGGCCGCCGCGCCTCGTCGGAGGCACGGTGGGGCGGTCATCACGGGGCCGGGGGCCTGGCGGCCGCAGAGCTGCAGGGTGTGCGGGGCGGGCCGGGGGGCTCCTCGTCCCCTGGAGGCCAGCAGGCAGGCGGGCATTTGCCCCCCCCTCTCTCTCTGCAGGAGGAAGGCCCGAATGGCGGTCCATAAACAAAGCAGTCTGGGATACGATGTGTTGACCAGTTGTTTTGACTATGGCTTCTAGCTTTTGGCTATCTGCTTATGTCTCTTCCCAACTGCGCCTGCAGGGGGACTTGCCCGACTGAAATCTAGCAGCCCTGATCTGTCGAGTCGGGAATTCCCTGCCTCAGCAGAAGCGCTCGGAGGTCCTCCTGCATGTTCTTCGGTCGGCGTCACCCAAACATACTTATACTATATGTGCGTCGCCCCCCCAGGGACGACGCGCGCACCGAGAAGTCTTACAGTATATGCGTCGTGGCGGGCGCTTTCTGGCCGCACCGCTCGGGACTAGATCTACTACAAGATGGGCATACCGAATGTTCATGTCGGACGCGCGCCTCTAGTATTAAGTCGGGCCTGTCCCCCTACAGGGGGATTTTCGACGAAAAATGAAACATACCCCAAACATAGTCCAAAAATACTCCCAAAATAGTCGGGGGACTATTTTTTGAGGATTTTGTCTTCCTTTTTGTAGTATTACGGGTATTTTTCATCTTTCGTCGAATTCCTCCTGTAGGGGGACACGCCCGACGTAGTACTAGTATGTCCCTGTGCGTCCCATTTGGGGTCGGTGCCGTGCCCCCCGCGGCGGTGCCCCGCCCGACTGGCGCGCTCCGCGCGCCCAGGGGCGGGGCGCCCGCCGCCGATGCAAGAGGTCAGCACGGGCGGCCGAGAGTCTCGCTGGTGCGCTGGCGCACGCCGCGCCGCCGATCCCTCGGGAGCCCTGGATGTCCTCGTCGTCGTCCTCGTCGCCCTCGTCCTCGGCGTCGTCGTCGTCCTCGTCCTCGTCGTCGTCGTCGTCGTCATCCTCGTCGTCGTCCTCGTCGTCGTCCTCGTCGTCGTCGTCGTCGTCGTCGTGCTCCGCCTTGTGCTCGTCGTCGTCGTCGACGTCGTCGTCCGCCTCTCTTCTGGTGGGCGTTGTCGTAGAAGCACGTTGGCGCTGAGCGTCCATCTCGCAATCTCCCACCACCGTACTCAAAACAAGCCCCTTTGGTCGTCGTTCTCTTATTCATTGTTTTGCCGATCGGCGCGGGCCCTCGCAACCCCCTCCCCTCCCCCACCCTCCATGGAGTAGATCTTGGCTGTTTTCGGTGACTGTTTCGAGCAGATGGAGTCCCTCCCCCAATAGGACGCACTGTTGCAAACAGTCGGATTAAGCAGAGGTCCAACCCCCCCCTCAACCCCTCCGTCCGCCGAATGTCGAAACGCCGAGTAAGAAAACGCTCACTTGGTTGCTTTTGAGGCCTGCGGGGGGTCGTTTGAAGACTTCTTTGGGGCCTCCTTGGGGACAGCACAACCCACCCCTGTCCCCAGCCAGCACCCCCATTCCCTGACCTGGTGATGCAGGGGGTAGCGCAATTGTTGTTAGAAAAAGCGCCCCATCTCCCAGCCAGGAACCAGGTCGGGAGTGGGGGTCTCGGCTGGGGGTGGGGGTGGCGGTCGGTTGTGCTGCTCTCTCTTTGGGGTGCTTCTGGCCTGTAACCATGCAGTCTTTCGAAGAACACCAAACAGTGTAAACATAAACTTTTGGCGCCCAGCGCGGATTTCTTGGATCCACGCTGGGGCCCTCTTGCGGCGCCTTCGGCGCCTCCCCTGGCGCGCTCCGCGCGCCAGGGAGGGAGGTCCAGCGCAGATCCACGAAATCCGCTCGGAGCGCCACAAGTTTATGTTTATGGCGTTTTGTTTTTCTTGTACAGTGCGGGCCCGGCCGCAAGAAACCCTCGCAAGAAACCCAACCTTGAGAACCCGTGCGCGAGGTGCACCTGAGGGGGAACCTGGAGCACCCTGAACGCAGCAGCTCCTTCAAAGGCTGCGGGAAGTCACCGCGCAGCGCGAGGAGCGAAGAAACCCAGGATACCCTGACGAAAAGCACAGGGTTTCTTGATGCGCGCCCCCACTGTAGTCTTCGCCTCGCGGAGGCGGCCAACGGCAGCAGCCTCACCGCCGTGTTCGCCGCGGAGCTGCCCCCGCTGGGCTACCGGACCTTCCGTCTGCGGACCTCCAGCGAGGCGCCGCCCGCGCCAGCGCCGGAGGCGGCCGTGCGAGGGGAGCCTGTGGTCTGCAGGGACAGCGTCAAGGTTTGGTCTGCGAGGGGAGTCTGTGGCCTGCGAGGGGAGCCTGTGGTCTGCAAGTCGGGCGTGCCCCCCCCCCCAGGAGGATCTTCGACGAAAAATTAAAGCATCGGCAAAAAATATTCCAAAATGGTCAACAAAATATTCAAATAATAGTTCCCATACTATTTTTTGACTATTTTGGATATCCCTTATGTAGAGGGACGGGCCCGACTTCACGTCAGGGGAGGATACGCCCAGGATCGAGGGAACGTAAGGCTCGAGTAGGCCAGAACTCGGGTTTGCTGGCGTTTTTGTTTGACGAGGGCGGCCTGGATTCTGACGGTCCGTGTTCCTGGGATGTCTGCAGCGGGGTATCACGTCACATTTCAGATTGGGTTTTGTCTCGTCGTTTTCGTGATGGCCCCGTCAGGCCAACCCAAGTCCCCCGCACCCGAGTCTTACGTCTCCCCGATCGAGGCCTGTTGAGGCTTCCATCAGCTGGGCCTCGTCGAGAGCGTGTCGGTGGTGCCGGGCATCGTCCTGAACGGCCGCTGGAAACCCGAGTTTTGACCCGAAATTTGGAAGACGAGGATCATGGAGGAGCCGGTGGTGTTCAGGAGCAGTGTTTCCAAGCCAAGTCGGGTCATGAAAATAATCACGACAGAAGGTGTTCCCTTACTTCCGGCAAGAAGAGTCCATCTCAAACGACGACTCAGGATGAAAAGCCGGTCCTGGGGCATGGGTGGAGAGCAGGGGCCGATTTACATGATTGTTTGGCGATTTCGTGGGCCGTTTGCGTTTCGTTTTCGTTTTGCAGCAGAGGCGGGTTGAGGACAAGCAGAAGCAAAACGAAACCACAAGGAGCACGAACAAACGCTGTTGAGGCCAGCCCCTGGTCGAGACCTCTGGAAGTCCACGCCATGAACAAACAGCGGCGTCGCGGATCTGGGCCAGGGGGGGAGAGGCCCAGGAGAGCTCCAAAAGAGGCCTAATGTGCCCCCTTAGGGCTCCTTTTCTTCACCCCCACGTTTAGGTCACCCCCCTTCATCACCCGCCCGCGTGTTTTGGTCGAGGCCACATGGAAACGACAGGGCCGTCATGGTTTCCCTATTCAGTTTTGCTGTTTTTGCTGCCGGTCCCGGCGACGTTTTTTGTTGTTGGTTGTCCGGTTCTGTCGCCGGTTCTGGAGCAGGTTCCAATTCCAGAGCCGGTTTTGTTGCCGTTTTTGGTTGTTGTTTCTTTATAGCAGTTCCCATGATGAAGCATATTGCTTCGCAACGCTGACAAAATCAGTATCGATCAACCGATCCCCATCCCCATCCCCTATCCCCTTCGAGACCCTCACCAAGTTACCACCCCAGTTGGGAATACACCCCTCGAAAGCCCGGAGGGAATGGCCCATATCGAATCCCCATCTGGGGGGGTAGATCGGCCAGTGGGGCCCAGGCCACGCCGCTGGGGATGGGGATCGGTTCAACGATACTCAGCAAAAGCGGCATTGCCGCTTCCGGGGCCCACGGGGCCGTCGCCACCACGCATCCCGAGCCCAGCAGCGGCGGCGCCCGCGGACGGACGGCCTCGGGAGGCGCGAGCCATGGCTCGAAAGCCACGGGGCGTAAGATCGGGGTCCACGTTGGGGGTGGGGGGAGGATAATCAGGTCCTCCTCCTCCTCGTCCTCCTCCTCCCTTCCTCCTCCCTTCCTCCTCCCTTTCTTCTCCTTCTCTCTTCTTCCTCCTCCTCCTCCCTTCCTCCTCCCTTCCTCCGCCTTCTCCTCCTCCTTCTCCCTCCTCCTCCTCCCGCAGGGAGGACGCATCGACCCCCGAATCGCCCCTCGATCGCCGACAGGGGGCCCGATGGCCCGCCCCGCACGGGAGCGTGCGGATCCGCTGTGGGGTGCCCCGTTCCGAGGTGTCGGCGAGGTGTCACCGATGCTATGGTCGCTGGCACCCCGCCCTGAGTCACGCAGTGGCGAAGCGTCCTGCCTCGCCTATAGGCCCACCGCAGAATGTGTCTAAGAACTTCTTGAGGTCGGCACGAGATGTTGTCAGACCATTTCTGGCTGAGACGGTCTTGTTTTAACATTGCGGGTTTACGTTCTAAGAACAGTGTTGTTGTTGTTATTGGAGCATGTCTAGGTTCTGAGAACATGTCGTGGTAGTCCTGTAGATATGCCGTGACGGTCGGTACCCCCTCAACTGAGGCTGTTCCGCCTCCCTCACGTTCCCCTTTGCAGGTCTTGGAGAACGAGTACCTGAGGCTGGAATTCGTCGCGGGCGCCCGGGGTGCAGAACATTCAGATGCCAGTTCTTCCCTTCTACCAGCGCGTGCACATACACATATACATATATATATATATAGAGAGATAGATGATCTGACTTGGAATAAGGAGCTGGACCTGTGCGTCGGTCTGGCGGCTGCGGTGTCGCCGTCGCCGCCCCGTCGCCGCCTCGTCGCCGCCCATCGTCTGGGTCTGTGCGCCGGTCTGGCGGCTATGTTATTGCCGTTGCCGCTCCGTCGCCGCCTCGTCGCCGCCCATCGTCTGTGCCTGTGCGCTGGTGGGGTGGCTATGTTGTCACCGTCGCCGCCCCGTCGCCGCCGTTAGATTGCACCTCATGGATTGCTTTGCGGTGCTGTGCACTGCTTTGCGTTGCACTGTCTTGCTTTGTCCTGCTGTGCCTTGTGTTGCATGGCTTTGAGTTGCATTGCATTCGTTTATGTTGCTTTCCATTGTTTTGCATTGCATTATGTTGCGCCACATCGATTATAACACGCACACATATATAGAGATGTGTAATCATTTTGTGAACAAGAACGGCCCCACATGAAATGCACACCACACACTGCACCACAAGGGTTGCACCACATAGATGACCACAGACATTGCATCACACATATTGCACGACATCGATTGCACAGTAGGAGTTGCTCTACAAATTTTGCACAACAGAGGGTGTGCCACATAGGATGCCCCACCTGGATTGCACCACATCGACTAGACCACATACATTGCACCACATGGGTTGCACAACCTGTATTGCACCACTTCGATTGTCCTTTCTAAAAAGAGAATTGGCTCTACCCACCCCGGCGTTATCGGTCCCCCTTTTCGGATATGTAAGTCATATATGATTATGACCACATGTCCATCCTGAACATGAATTTACACTATCCCCGGGGGGCCGGGTTCCCCCCCCCAGAGGTTCCCTTGTAAAAAACTCTATGCGGTGACACTTCTTGTTCTAACATGACACTTTTTCATTAACTCTTTGCAGAAATGGGACGAAGTGCACACGCGCGCGTCGTCGCGCGCGCATGCCGAAATCCTTGAAAACCTTTGGTTGCCGGAAGGATTTCGCAATCGAGTTTTCAAAAAAAACATGCAAACACAAAAGGTTTCGTACCGCTGATTTGCAAAAAAAGCTTCCGCGCGAGCTCTTGCGAAATCTTAAGAAAACCAAAGGTGATTCAGTATTTTCACAAAATGCACTCAAACGGGCTTCGCGCGCGCGCATGTCGAAATCTGCCGAACGCCCTTGCGCGTGTGCCGTCGCGAGAATCCTCTGCGAAAAATGGGACGAAGTGCAGACGCGCGCGTCGTCGCGCGCGTACGCCGAAATTCTTCAAAAACCATCGGTTTCGGAAGGATTTCAAAATCGCGCGTCCAAAAAACCTACAAAAACAAAAGGTTTCGCAACACGGATGTTCAACAAAAGCGTGCGCGCATTTGCGGCGTCGTCGTCGTCGTCGTCGTCGTCGACGTCGCCGGCCTCCCTCCTCCCGCGTCGTCGTCGTCGTCGTCGCCTACGTCGTCATGTGTCTTTCCTCGTGTTCGTCGTCGTCGTCCTCTTTGGCGTCGTGGTCGTTTCCGTCGTCGTTGTCGCCGTGGTCGTCCTTCCTCCTCCTCCCTCGTCGTCGTCGTCGTCCGTCGTCGGCGTCTTGTCGTCGTCCCTCCTATTTCGTCGCCGTCGTCGTCGTCGTCGTTGTCGTCGTCGTCTTCCCTCCTCCCTCGTCGTTGTCGTCGTCGGCGTCGCCGTGCTTCCTCCTTCTTCGTCGTTCGCGTCGTCGCCGTCCTCCCTCCTCCCTCGTTGTCGTCGTTGTCGTCGTTGTCGCCGTCGTCGTCCTCCCTCCTTCCTCGTCGTCGTCTTCGTTGGCGACGTCGTCGTCGTCGTCGTCGTCGTTGACTTCGTCGTCGTCGTCGTCGGCGTCGTCGGCGACGGCGGCGTCGTCGTCGTCATCGTTGTCGGCGTCGTCGTCGTCGTCGTCGGTGTCGTCGTCGTCGTTGTCGTCGTCGAAGTCGTTGGAGACGTCGTCGGTGTCGTCGTAGTCGGTGTTGGCGGCGCCGTCGTCGTCGTTGTCCCTGTCGTCGTCGGCGTCGGTGTCGTGGCCAAGTGCCATGTGGTACGTACCGTCACGGTCTTGTCTTAAGATGTCTCGCGACCAAGTTGCTGGTGGGAGGGTGGGATGTTTGCACGAGCAGCGGAGAGGACAGCTTCAAGACGGTCAAAGTGGATTCTCCTTCCTAAAAAGAGTAGACTCTACCCCCCCCCCGGGTTATCGCTACCCCTTTCGGGTATGTAAATCACATATGATTATGACCACATTTCCATCCTAAATATCGATTTACATTATCCCAGGGGGGCCGGTATCCCCCCCCCGAGGTTTTTTTCTAAAAAACATTATGCGGTCACATTTTTTGTTCTAACATAAAACTTGTTCACGAATCCCTTGCAAAACATGGGACGAAGTGCACACGCCCGCGTCGTCGCGCGCGCATGCCGAAATCCTTCAAAAACTTTCGGTGCCGGAAGGATTTCGCAATCGAGTTTCCAAAACACCATACAAAAACACAGGGTTTCGCAACATTGATTTGCCAAAAAAGCTTCCGCGCGAGCTTTTGCGAAATCTTAAGAAAACCATAGGTTTTTCAAGTTTTTCACAAAATGCACTCAAACGGGCTTCGCGCGCGCGCATGTCGAAATCCGTCGAACGCCCTTGCGCGTGTGCCGTCGCGAGAATCCTCTGCAAAGAATGGGACGAAGTGCAGACGCGCGCGTTGTCGCGCGCGTATGCCGAAAACCTTCAAAACCCATCGGTGTCGGAAGGATTTCAAAATCGCGCGTCCAAAAAACCTACAAGAACACAAGGTTTCGCAAAACGGATTTTCAACAAAAGCGTGCGCGCGCGCTCTTGCGTCGTCGTCGTCGTCGTCGCCGTCCTCCCTCCTCTCGTGTCGTCGTCGTCGTCGCCTGCGTCGTCCTCTGTCTTTCCTCGTGTTTGTCGTCGTCGTCCTCTTTGGCGTCGTGGTCGTTTCCGTCGTCGTTGTCGCCGTGGTCGTCCTTCCTCCTTCTCCCTCGTCGTCGTCGTTGACGTCCGTCGTCGGCGTCTCGTCGTCGTCCCTCCTATTTCGTCGCTGTCGTCGTCGTCGTCGCCGTTGTCGTCGTCGTTTTCCCTCCTCCCTCGTCGTTGTCGTCGTCGTCGTGGCCGTCCTTCCTCCGTTGTCGTCGTTGTCGTCGTCGGCGTCCTCCCTCGTTGTCGTCGTTGTCGTCGTTGTCGTCGTTGTCGCCGTCGTCGTCCTTCCTCCTTCCTCGTCGTCGTCTTCGTTGGCGTCGTCGTCGTCTTCGTCGGGGTCGGCGTCGACGTCGTTGTCGTCGTCGAAGTCGTCGGAGACGTCGTCGGTGTCGTCGTAGTCGTTGTCGTCGTTGTCGTCGTAGTCGGTCTCAAGAGGTTTTGCAAACCAAGTTGCGGGTGGGTGTGTGGGATGTTTGCAAGAGAGTAGGATGTGTCAAATCATGGGTAACAATCAGTTGCACCCCATAGGTTGCACCGCGTGAATTGCACCGCATATACTGCTCAAGCTGGTCAAGCGACATACGTTGTACCGCGTACATTGCACACAACAGAATGCGCAACCTACATTGTTCCAAGTCGATTGCACTACGTAGACTGCTTCACCTAGGTTGCACCACGTCAATTGCTAAGAACAGTGAATGGGGGCCACCCTGGCTGACCCTAATCAATATTGCATCGGCAGCTTTTCACATACATGTGTGTACGTACATATGTATGTATCTATGTCTCAAAGGACAGGTTATGCACTCATATGCATTCGAAGAAATAAGTGACATGCTCATTCATGTCGGGCGACGTAAGGTCTGACACCACAACCATTATGTGGAATGCTCATGTGTTGACCTCACGGGCGTCCCTCGTCGCCACGCCTGGTTTCGCCTCGAACGCCTGATCAGAACGCATCTCGACAGAGGAGTGGTGGTATCGGTCGTGATTCGACTCCAATTCGATTAGAACACGGTTTTAGCCCGAGTCGGGTTCAATTCTCGCGACTCAGGGCAACGGGCGTCCGACGCAGTATCGACGCATGAGTGAAGCGCGTGTCTCCAGGAAGGGCCTCAGACCGAGCAACTAAGATTGCTGCACAGAGATATCACTGGCACGAGGGCTAATTTTATGAGCAGCCCGTGGCTTGGACGGATGCCGATATAATGATCTCGGGTCGAGGGTTCACAGTCACCTCCCAATGTGGGATGGGCCCCAGGGTTCCTCAGGCCCCAGAGGAGGAGGAGGAGGAGGAGGAGGAGGAGGAGGAGGAGGAGGAGGAGGGGGAGGAGGAGGAGGAGGAGGAGGTGGCGACGAGGGCCCCCCACATGGGATGGGGCGGTGACGACGACGGCCACGACCAACGACCACGACCACGACGACGCGCCGACGCCGCCGCCGCTGCCCAGCGTGCATGCAGCTGGTCTCGGCCCCGCCGCTAGGAGCTTGCCTTTACAATTTCGGTAGTCTCGCGCGTCGTGTCGACCAGCGGCGACCCCGTCGCCAGCGTTCAACGTTGAACGCCGCCGGCGACTCCGAATCGGTCGAGGTTGAACTGTCACGGGTAGCCCTTGAACGCTTTACGAGCAGCAGCAGGAAAATATGTCGTCCACCTTTCGTGGAAGGCTCTGTTGCCGCCGCGTATGATTTTACAACTGGCTGAGTAGGCCAATGGGGATATCCACACAGCCTCGCTGTCTTCCAGGCCTTGCTAGTGATAGTTAGTCATCGTTGGCGGTTGCCTGCGGTTGAACAAGAAACATCGGTCGAGGTTGAACGTTCTGACGTCTCGGAGATGGACGATCATGCAAGGTGGAACGAGCCCCGCGGTCAGGAACCAACGCCGGGGTCGACACGACCGCGGACCTGCAGTACACGGGCGCATGCATGTACTTCTACAGGAGGAAGATTCAAAAATAATAGAAAAATAGTAGGTGGACGATTTTCCTACTATTTCGGACTATTTGGGAATTGTTCTGAATATTTTTCATTTTTCATCCCAAATCCGCCAGTAGGAGGACAGGCCCGACCTAACGCTGGAGAAATCAGCTGCGTGAGCTGCATTCGCTAGCCACACCTTTACCCAGACCCCCGAGATTTTCATCCTATCTGCTTTTCATCGCTGTCTGCTTTTCATCCTGAGTCGTTCTTGACGGTCCTGAGGCCCGGCGAGGGCCCCGAGAGTCCGAAAAATACCAGAATGATTCTCCATGGCCTGAAAAATCTGGGTGTTTCCCCTTGTTCGTCCGACACGAGAGGGTGGCCCAGCGCTATCCCAAGAAATCCGCGCGGACCTCAGAACGCTGATTCTGACTCCGTGTCTTGCTTCCCTACAGGCACGCTCAGCACCGTACTGGACAAGAGCCGGAACCTGAGCGCGCAGGTCAGGCAGTCTTGGTTGTGGTACAATGGGTCCGCAGGCAACAGCGAGTCCACCCAGACGAGCGGGGCGTACATCTTCCGGCCAAATCGGTCGTCAGAGAAAGAAAAGGTACGGTAGGTTCGTGTCGTGTCGACCAGCGGCGACCCCACCGCCGGCGTGCAACGTTGAACGCCGCGGGTGACCCAGAATCGTTGGAGGTGGAACGATTTGGACGCTTCGGAAACAACCGATCGTTCAATGTTGAACGATTCCCGCAGTGTCAGAAACCAACGCCGAAGTCGGCACGACACGAACCTGACGTACCAACACCGGTACCATTCCCTCGTTTCCGATGCTTGCGGGCCTCGTGAGAGGCCGTCGCCGCCACGGTTGGATTCGTAGCGGTATCGGTATTACTCGGTTTCCCCAGGTCGGAGGCGTCGCCAGTCTTCAACGGCACCGGGAAGGCGAAAACCCACCCCCACCCCAAGTCCCGTCCCCATCCCCGAACCCGCGATCCGTGGAGGCGGGACTTTGGGTGGGGGTGGCTTTTAGGAGCCCCCGGGTCAGTCCCGACCCCTTGAATCGCCAGCTCGCGGATGGGGTCTGGATTGGGGGTGGGGGTGGGTTTTCGCCTTCTAAGGCACCCCAACGCTGAGGCTCTCTCGAGGGCCCTTGGCGGAAGAGGTGCACCAGGAGTTTGGGCCTTGGGTCAGCCAGCGCGTGCGGCTGGCGAAGGCGGCGCGCCACGTGGAAATCACTTACACGGTGGGCCCCGTGCCAGTGCAGGATCAGCTTGGGAAGGAGGTCATCACGCGGTTCACCACCGACATCGCCAACGCAGGCGAGTGTTTTACCGACAGCAACGGGCGAGAGATGATGGCGCGCAAGAGGGACTATAGGGCAACCTGGAACCTCAGCCAGACGGAGCCCGTGGCCGGGAATTACTACCCCGTGACGGCCTCCATCTTTATCAGGGACGCCCGGAGGCAGCTCACGGTGCTCACCGATGCCGCACAGGCGGGCAGCGGTTGCGTCACCGACGGCGAGCTCGAGCTGATGGTGCACCGCAGGCTGCTGCACGACGACTTCAAGGGCGTCGGGGAGCCGCTCAACGAGAGCCTGCCGAACGGCGCCGGCCTGGTCACCCGGGGCCGCCACCTGCTCGTGCTATCGGACCCGGCCACCGCGGCAGCCACTTGGCGCCCTCTCGCGGACGCCGTGTACATGCCCCCGCTGCCCTTCTTCGCGCCCGGCTACCGCCTCCCAGGCTCGGTCGACGCCATCGGTGGCCAATCGCTGGAGCCTCGTGTCCCCTCGCAAGTCCGTCTTCAGCGTCCATGAGCGTCTGGGGGTCGATGGGGTAGCGTCGGTGAGCGTCGATGTAGCGTCGATTTTTTGGCGTCGACTGGCGCCGATTCGCAAGAGCCGACAAGGTGGTAAGGGAGGCAGCCATGATCTGCCGCAGAAGAGGCCGATTCAAGTGGGAGTCCGTCCAGGTGGAGTCGAGAGGCTCCACCCGGCGGGCCTGCAACTGGGCTCGGCCCCCCGCTTGGGCGGTGCCGCGCCCAGTTGCAGGGAGTCCAGCTGTAGCCAACGCGCTCTGCTATCTGCTGGCGGCGGCGCTTGGCATCGCTCGGACGTGTGCATGTGGTTCTCGGCGAGAACCATCGAGGACCATCCTGGACCATCGAGCAAAAAAACACGCGCGAAACCTTACAATACACGGGAAATGGACGTCCGAGCGACGGCAAGGGCGAGCGAGGGGGGGGACGTGAGAAGTGGCGGCCCTCCTCAGAAGGCTCGGAGGTCCCACGGCCTTCGGAGAAGTGTTCCGAGCCTCCCCCGAAGACGCAACGAACCTCTCATAAGGCCCGACCGAGGCCTTCGGAGAAGCCACCCGCCTTCGGAGAAGGCCTTCTCCTTCTCACTTCCCCCCCCTCGCTCGCCGCCGATGCCGGGACTCCAGCGGGGCTTGGCCACTCCCGGCAGGCGCACAGGCCTCCTACATCTACAGCATTCTTACGGAGCAGCTGCCCCCGAACGTTCAGGTGGCCACGCTCTCGCGCTGGGACGATGCCTGGGTGCTCGGCCACGCGCAGATTGGGGTCGTGGGAGGGGGGGGGAGCCTTCTTAGAAGCAGCCTCCTTCTAAGAAGCCTTCCCCATCCCCCTACCTCCTTGTGCGCGCCGCCAAGGTGCTGCTCCGGCTGGCTCACCAGTTCGGCGTGGGTGAGGACGCGGTGTTGTCGCAGCCCGCGGAGGTGGACCTCGGGAAGCTCTTCGCTGGCACGAGAAGACTGAAAACCAAGTACAGAGCCAAAGCGTAACACTCGGAAGCACATGGGATGAACAGCTCCCGATGCCGTTACATCTGCCTCTTTCGCTCCTTGGGCTTCCTGGGATGCCCTCGTCGCCACAACGGGATTCGCAGTGCAAGCCCGGTCAGAGCGCATCTCGGGAGAGGTGCGAGGATCACGGCATCGGCATCTTGTGGGTGCCCCCGAACACACCCCGAGGTCCGCACGGGATGTCTCGGGGCCGCGGTGCCAGTTCAGGGGCCTTCCAGGGCCGCCTTCTTGGAGCCTTCGAGCGTGCTCAGTTTATATATCAGGAGGGGAAAAAACACACAGACACAATTAATCGTCGACTCCCAGGAAAATATGGGAAAATACGTTGAGTGCGGGGGGGAAAACAGAAACCCAGAAAATATGGGAAAATATGGGGAATAGTTTTGTTTGTGTGTATTTATTTGTGTGTCCCAGGGCCCCTTCAATATAGGCCTCCCAGCTGGGGGGTTCGGATCGCTCCGCGTCGCCGATGCGTCGGCGATGCGGCTCGATGTGGAGCCGGATCTGCTCCGCCCTGGCGTCGCCGATGCACCGCCGACGTAGCCGATGCATCGGCGATGCATCGGCCGTGAGCGCGATCGTCCGACCCCGTCTGCTCGGACCCCATCCAGAAGGCTTCTGGAGCTGACTGCCCAGAAGTTCACCACCCACCAACCCACCCCAAACCAACCCGAAGGCCCCGATTTGCCCTCCACTTCCAGTGGGGGGGGGGATCGGGGAACCATGAAAATACACGCATGGAACCCGTACCCCCCCCCTAACCCGAATCTCCGGTCTTCGGGTTGGGTTGGGGTGGTCTGGTAGGCCCGGCCACGCGCAGAAGGGGGTAGGGGGAGGGGGGAAGGCTTCTTAGAAGCACCCCTGCTTCTTAGAAGGCGCGGGCCTTCTTTGTAGATGTAAGGCCGGCGCCTTCTAAGAAGCAGCCTCCTTCTAAGAAGCCTTCCCCCCTCCCCCTACCCCCCTGTGCGCGCCGCCAATAGGCAGTCAGAAGTTGACGTCCACCCGGCCCGCAGCCCCTCCCCCGGCGCCGCCGACGGTGCGGGGAGGATGGCCAGGCGCCGAGGCGGGAGATCCGCGCGGCTTGTCCAGAAGCGTGCGGCAGGCTCGCGCCGCGCGGACGCGGCGCCGACCCCTCCTCGTCCTCCTCGACCTCCTCCCTCGCCTCCTCCTCCTCCTCCTGCTCCTCCTCCTCCTCCTCCTCCTCCCCCTCCCTCCTCGCCTCCCTCGCCTCCCTCGCCTCCTCCTCCTCCTCCTCCTCCTCCTCCTCCTCCTCCTCCTCCTCCTCCTCCTCCTCCAGCGCGGGCGCTCAAGGTCGATTGCCTCGAAGCCTCCTGGACGGGGTCGGAGCAGGTGAGGTCGGAGGACCGCGCCGCAGCGACGATGCATCGGCGATATGGCTCGATGTGGAGCCCGAGCTTCTCGACCCCGACGTTGGCGATACATCGGCGATGCGGCGCGGTCCTCCGACCACACCTGCTCGGGCCGCATGTGGGATGCCTCCACTGCCGCTGGAGGTTCGGATTCGGCCGAGATCGAAGGAGCCGCGCTATCGGGAAAACGAGATCGTTGCGATCCACAGGGTGTCAAAAATAGATGGCCGCCCCAGCTTTGGCAGGGGGGGCACAAGGGGCTCCAGACTGGCGCGACAAGCAAGGATCACGTGTGGCCGTGGCCGCCCTTGTGAGCACCAGAGAGGCGGTGCCCAGCGCCGAAAACAGAGATCCGCGCGTTCTTTCAGCGAGCATGCGTTTCTTGATGCTGGCCGACCGGTTGCCTGCGGGCAGGGTTGCAGGCAAGATTTCGGTCGGCGCCAGCAGGCCGAGGCTCAGTGGGTAGTCAGTATCTTGCCTCTAGAGTTTGATCGGGCCTGTCCCCTTACAGGAAGAATATTCAAAACTAGTCAAACAAAGTCTGGGGACACTTTTTTCACTATCTTTAACGATTTTGTTGCAATTTTGTTTTTTCACTAATTTTCGTCCAGAATCCGCCTGTAGTGAAGCATGCCCGACCTAACTCTAGAGGGCCAAATGTTTATCCGTATCCACTGCCCCTGGTTTCTTGGCATGCCTCGACCTCCGCGACCTCGACCGCCGCGCTTGGCATGACCTGGCGCCACGAAAGCGCACGGCAGGTCCCTGCCGTGGCGACTTGCGCGCCACCCCAGGCGTCTGACGTTGTTTTTTTCGGCAGCGCGGCTCGCCAGTGATCCGGATCCCTGCCCGCAGAAGTTTCTCATCCCGAGTTGTTTTTGACGGTCCCTGGGCCCAGCAGGGGGCCCCGGAGGCCGAAAACGGCAAACGAACATCCCGTCGTGAATGTTGTCACGGGTTGCACGTTGGTTTGTGACACCGCGTGGATCGTTCGATGTTGAACGCCACGGCGCAAACGGGAACAGTCGATAGCGCACGTTGGTTTGTGACAACGCGTGGATCGTTCAATGTTGCACGCCACGGCGCAAACGGGAACAGTCGATAGCGAAGATTGCGATCATCGAACTTCGATTCCGACAGCGCGGATCTTTCGATATCGTCCGATTTCTTTGGTCGTTCCCAGGGGCGCGAAGAGAACTGCGCGAAGATCGCGCCCTGGGTTGGAGGGGCGCCCTCCAGGCGACGCGAGGGCGCGAAGGAAGCCGCGTATTGCACGGCGCGGTGCGCAGAATTCGGCGACCTTAGAGTCGGGGGGTGGCCATGCATTGCGGTGACCGCACCGTGTGGTGAGTCGGTGGGGTCTGGGGGTCACCTCGCGGCTTTGGGACATGGGTCTTTCGCCGAGGATGTCTCTGGCGATTGGGGGGCATCCGGCGCCCCAAAACCGTATGGCGACGGACCATGCGGTGAGGTCTGTCGGGAGTTCGAGGTTACCGCACGGTCCGTTGTTGCACCGTTCTGGGACCCCATCGATATCCAACGCAGCGAAACAATTCCAACATCGTAAAACATCACGCCCGGATGCCTAGAACCCATGTTTCTGAATCATGAGATGGTCGATCTGTGAGGGGGGCCCGAAAAAACGCGACAACGCCAGGCTCGAAGAACTTGAGACGCCCGGATCTCACGGAGTCACCGAGCGCGTTCCACTCTTCGTTCGCAAAGTGCGTAATCGCACACGTCCGAAGAAATCACGTCCGCCTCTTTGTAATGGATCGTAAATCCTCCGCGGCGGATTCAGCCCGCAGTGGAGGCCTATGCCAAGAAACACCCTGCTTGCCTCCAGGGTGCCCTGGGTTTCTTGAGTTTCGATGGTTCTGCTATGGGAATCGTGGCGCTCCCACACCAAAAGTCAATGGACGTCCAGGGGTCTCAGGGTTGGGTCTCTTGTGGAAAGTTTCTTGTGGTCGGGCCTCCATTGTAGACGTGTCCCCCGATGGCCCCATGTGCCCCAGGACCCTCAACGTCCGACGAAGAGCGTGCCCCACAATGTTTTGGCACTTTGGGAATGATTGTTCCACAGGCTTGCGCTTGTTCTGCTGCGGAAGGCGCGACGTCCTCTCGCCAAACTCATCAGCGGACGTCCTGGGGTCTCGGGGTTGGCTCCCTTGTGGAAGGCCTCTCGTGGTCGCGCCCCCCACTGCAGCTGCTCTGCGAGAGCAGTGGGAGCGCGCCCGTCGATGACAGAGCCCGCGGCGCCCAGGCATGGCCGTCGCCGCCGTGGAAGAGCGCGGCCTCGCCGCCTCCATCTCGCGCGCGGAGGTGCTGCGCCGCCGCGTGCCCTGGCCCGTGGAGGGCGAGCCCGCGGTGCGCGCGCGGCCGGCGGCGGCTGGGCCGGCCGCGCCGGGCGGCGAGCTGGTCCTCGGGGGAGAAGTCTGGTTTGAGCTGCTCAAGAAGCGTCGGGGGCCTGGCTTCCACCACCGCCACCAGAAGTTGGAGGGGGGAAGGAGGTTGAGGATGAGGAGGAGGACTTCTTTTTTTTCTCCGCGGCGATGCCTCCGCCGCCACCTCGGCCGTCCGCGACGAAGATATGACGAAGAGGTTGAGGAGGAGGAGGAGAAGGAGGACCCCCTCCCCCTCCTACTTAGGGTGGTGGGGGTGGAAAATGAGCCGACCAAAGCGTCGGGGGGCATCACCCCCGCCAGCAGCCCCACATCGACCCCCGTTGCGGGCAGCCACCGCGCGCCAAAGGCGCTCCGACCCACGTCGCGGAGCGACGACGAGGCGAGGTTGGCCCCCGTCGGGGGGGTACCCCCCCCCGCTTATGAAGAAACCCAGAGTAACCTGAATAGCACGGTGAAGACGTAGCCTCACTGCGGCCCCCGTCTTTGCATTAGGGATAACTATAGGGCTGGGCGTTTTGGTTCGATACATCTGTAGAACAGATTCCCTATCCCTAATGTTTTTGGCCTCCTAAATCAGGTCCCCTCCCAAAGGGTTGGGGATATTGTTATTGCTTATCAACAAGCCAGGAGAGGGCGAGGTTCGAGGTTCGAGTTTTTCGATCTTTTCGTCGATGTTCGCCGGCTTTCCAGCCTCTGCATGCTTCCCAGCAGCAGCGTCTCGTCGAGAGCTTCCCAGGGGTGCCCCGATCGTCCCGAGCGGCCGCTGGAGGCCCGAGTCGGGACCCGTGGGGCGGGCGTTTTTTACGCTCTGTTTTGCCGCTCGGCGCGGGCCCTCGCACCGCACCCCCCCCTCCCCCCCCCCCGGTGGAGGAGAGCTTGGCTGTGGTGGGCGCCTGTTTCGATCCCCCGCCCTGCCGCCCAGGGCCGAGGCGCCGAAGAAGACCAAACGCCCACGAGGCGTCGGGGGACCGATTTTTTTAGCTGCGGTGGTCTCACCTCGCCCTGCTCCGGGATTCCTAAGTCGGGGGTGGACAGGACCCCCAACAGGGACACGTCGATTGGTGAGTGGTCCGTTTTCGGTTCTCGAGACGGCGCCGTGGCCGTCATTTTCCAGGCTCGCGCCCGCCAGGTTTGGGCCTCAGGTCGTTTTCACTAAACCACGTTTTACTAAAGGGGGTCTGTCCATTCCCGACTGAGGGCAGCGTGTGGGGCAACGACACGGGGGAGGTTTTTGAGGTGTTCGGACGTGGGCGTCGGTCCTCGGCGGCGTTCCAGTCTCGGGATATGCTGTCCAGCAGCTGCGCCTCGCCGAGGACGCTCTGGGGCGGCTCGAGTCGTGTCGAACGCCGCTGGAGAGGCGAAAACCAAAAACTGGGGGGCAATCGCAGGGCAGGGTCTCTCCCAGGGGGAGCGTTTCAGACTTTTGACCTTTTTCAAGTTGTTCGAGCGTTTTGCTTGGCCTGGGATGGTTTCCATCAGCTGCGCCTCGTCGACAGCTGTCCGGGCGTGCTGGGATCTTCCAAGCGGCCGCTAGAGACCCGAGTGATCATTCGGGGGAATGGCTGACGGGGGTATGCATCGACCCAGGCCCACTCATCGCCGATAGGGACCCGATAGCCCGGATTCGCTATCGAGGGACTATCGCCGATCTGTCGGAGATGAGTTGCCGATTCCAAATCGATGTTTCCTCCCCTGCGCTGGTCCCCCCCTGACGTTCCCCCCCCATGAGCGACTCTTCTCCAATCGGCTTGAGGGCTCCAGCCAGACAGACGGAGGTCAAGCTATAGAAGTCAACCAACAATCCAGAGATCGAGGCAAGTCTAGATATATCCAAATGAGCGACGCAAAAAAGAAGGGTCGTCTGCGCCGACATTGGCGCGTAAGTTGCCCGCGTAAGGTCGCGCATAAGCTCCCTCGCTTCAAATGTGGCGTGTCGCGCAGGCGGCCCGCGTGAGTCACCGCGTAAGGTCGCCGTGCCATCTCGCGTAAGACCCGTTTTGGGCTTGCGCGCAATGAGTATGGATAGATCGTGGAAGCTCACCGCGAGTCGAGGGACCTCAGAAGTCGTTAAGCCCCTAACTCAGTGATGCGGATACCGATACCTCCTATTCAACGCCACCAAACACCCCTGACCCAAACGCCACGTAAACGCAACTGAACACCACGAATCTAAACGCCGCTACACGTCGCTCACCTCAGCGCCACTGAACCAAACAGTGACCCTGACAACCTCGCGCCAGGAACAGGCCACCCTGGGGTCCCGCACCGCGCCGTGGGACCCCTGAACCACGGCTCGGGATGAGCAGCCGGTCCCCAGAAAGGGCTCTGGACCCTGGGGGCTCAAAAGAATCAGAATTAGCCACACACAGAGCACGCAAATCGTCACCACTACCATTTGGAAACGATTCTCGAATCTCCCTCCTGTAGAGGAACACGCCCGACTTGAGGGGGCGGGGGAAAGAACCGCGACGCCGGATGTCTGGGGAACGCCAGCTGGGCTGGCGGCTCCGCCGCTCCCCGCCGGCGGCCGCCCCGCCGCCCGCCTGGGCCTCCCTGAGCTGGCGGTCGGCTCCTGCGCCGCTGGCTTCTGCAGCTGGGCGCCCCCGCCCCCACCGGCCCTGCGGCCCGGGCGCCTCTGCCCCACGCAGCCGTGCTGCCGGCCCAGCCGGCGGCCGTCCCCTCCCCACCGCTGGCCGCCTTGCCGCCGCGCCTGCGCCGCGCCGGTGCTTGGCAGCTCGGCAGCCCCCCGCAGCATGGCAGCTCTGCCCTGAGGCTCTCGGCGGCGTGGCAGCCGGTACGTAGACCTGCAGTCCTGTCCTCAGCAGCTCAGCGTGGCAGTGCAGTGAGTTGGCGCCTCGGGCCCCGCCCCCGTGGTCGCTTGGTTTGGGCTGTCCCGCATCGCGTTGGCGCCGCAGCTCTGCAGCAAGGTCTGGCGCCCTCGGCCTCCTGCCGAACACACGGATGCCGCCCGCTTCAAGGGCTCGCTCGCCACGCCTCTTCCGCACGGGTTCGACGTGGTCTGCGCTCTCCGCGCCTGCAGCCTCTGCCTCAGCCCCTGGGCTTGGCCGCGATGCCCTCCCGAGTCCACCGCCAGGCTGCCTCAGCACAGGCGGGCCGCACGGGCCACTCCCGACGAAGGTCTGCGTGCAGCGAGCGCCCTCCCGCCTTCACGCGCCTTCCGCGGCCGCCTTCCGCCTCCCCGTCGTGCAGCCGGACGGCCTGCTCGCCCGTTGCCGGCCGATGAGTGCGCGCGTGCGCATCGCCTCTGCCGCGCTGCGACGTTCAAAGTCTGGGGAGCGCCCATTCATCGCCGATGGATGCCCGCCCAGGGACACTTGGCTTCGCCATCGGGGCCTATGGCCTATGGCCGACCTGTCGTCGGCGTATGGAATATTCAAGCTCGACGTTTCCCCCCCTTCCCCCCCGAGTTGGTCTTCGCTCTGTCGCCCAGAGAGAGACCGAATACGAGGCTTTCGTTACATCCTCGCGCCGTGCCAAAATATCATGGCACGATGTTTGAGAGATCATTTTTTGTATGTGGAGGCTCTGGAAAGGCCCCATGAGCCATCAAAGTACGGATCGGGAGGGAAACCGTCCCTGGGATGGGGTTCGGACTTTGAGTCGCGTTGTGAACGAACTTGTCGTCGAATGCTTGGCTTGTCCATCGCATTCGCCTTCTTCGGGTTTCCTGGGTGGCCTTCGTCACCACGGTTGATTTCAAGTCGAATCCTGGTTGGCACGCGCCCCTGGCGAGATCCGCGGGAGTAGCGGTATCGGTATGGCTCTGTTCCCCCCAGGTGTACGAGCTCGGCCCGCTGCAGATTCGGACGTTCTTGGTCCGGCTGGAGCAGGTGTCGCCGCAGAGACAGCCAGTCATACGACGTCAGCTTTCCCCCCCGCACATCCTGGCCGGCGGCGATCTTTCGGGGGCGGCAAAGAGGGGGGTGATGATTAGGGGGGGTGGATATCATGGCGGGGGCCATGATATTTCCCAGATGTCATGGCGCCTCTTCTTATTTCATTACGTCCCTGGCCCCCCCCGCTGGGCCGCGCACGTGCCGCCGGTCATGATTTGCACCCCCTCTCTTGGACACCGCCCTCTTGGCCGCTCCCGAATCTTGGTCCCCGCAGCTGCACACGCGTGTGGCCAAAGCTGACATCCTGGCCTTGCAATTTGTTGCATCGGGCGTGGTTGCCGGGCTCGTTTCGTGCCCAAAGACCATCACAGATCGATCAGGCTCCAAACATGCCGCGGGAAGATGGAGTCCGGGGCTCGTGTTTTTGTTTGTGTTTTCAATGTTGCCGATTTTTCCCAAGGTCGGGTCGGCCTCGTTTTTTTTGAGTTTTCAATGTTGTCGATGTTTCCCAAGGTCGGATCTCAGGGTAGTGGGCAAGCAAGTAGGGCGAGGGCCCCGATCTTGAGCGCAGCATGGGCCTTGTTAGGATCGGCGGGGTGGACAGTTGAGACTTCTCAAGCAAGGGGACCCGAGGGATCCAGCCTCAGGGCTGGAGGATAGGCATGGCTCGGTGGTGACGTCCGACCCCTGCCCTCGCCGAGCAGCGATTCGGGCAGCAGGGCGGAGGGGGGCTCCCAGAGCACCTGCTGCGTGAGCCGATTCGCTGACCCCCCCTTTTCGTTCCCCCCCTCTTTCATTCCACCCTGAGGGGTCCAGGGCCCTGTTGTCCTAGGGTGAACTTGGTGGGTTATGGTGTGCCAACTTACTTTAGCCTTGACCACCAGAGAGAATTTCGAGCACCAAGAAAGTGCCGGAATTTGATGGTGTTCACTTGTCTGGCCCTGGGAGGCCATGCCCGTCCGAAACTTTTTCGATAAATGTTCTGGGTGCTCGAAATGGTTTAATCGCTTCGCTCATTCCGCCGGCCCTGGAGCCCTCTTTAGGGCCTCTTGGGGGGCGCTTGGCAGTCTCTTGGGGCTCCTTGGCGGCGTCCTGGGGGCCCCCAGGGCCTCTCGGGGGGCACCTGTAGGCCTCTTGGGGCGGGAGGGGGGGTAGTCGACTGCGGCTCCCTCCTCGGAGGCCACGATCCTCGTGAGGGGTGCCGAAAGATTGCCCGGTCCGGGGCCCTCGAAATTCTTTCTGGCATGCGGCCCTGGGGTTTCCCTATCCCTCGGGCCTGCGCACGTCGATCCGAGCGAGTCCGAGTCGGACCTGGCTCCTGTGCTGGCCCTCGGGGGCCGAGGCCGATGCCGGGGTCCCAGGCAGTCCGGCGGAGGTGGCAAGGAGGTGTGGTGTGAGCGGGTCACATCGTGCTCGGATGCGCTTCCTGGGAGGTCAAATTCTGGTTTCGCCCTGGTCCGACATCCGGCCTGATTCGGCTTCGTCCGGCTTAATCCCGCTTCGTGCGGCTTAATACCGTTGAATCTCGTTGAATCCGGCTTAATCATTCCGGCGTACTAGCTCCCAAATGGGTCCCAGACAGTCCAGCGGAGGTGGCAAGGAGGTGTGTCAGGGGCGACAAAGAGGGGGGGTGATGACGAGGAGGGGTGGATATCATGACGGGAGCCATGATATTTCCACAGATTTCATGGCGCCTCTTCTTTTTTTGATACGTCCCCGGCCCCCCCGCTGGGCCGCGCACATGCCGCCGGCCATGATTTGCACCCCCCCCCCCTTGGACCCCCCCCCTCTTGGCCGCCCCCGAGAGGTGGCAAGGAGGTGTGGTGTGCACGGGTCACTGTGGCAAGGTCACGCGCGCGGCATGGCAATGGAGCCCAGCACGTGCGCGCGCTCGGCGGCGGAAGGGAGCGGAACCCCACGCGCAAGGGCAGCGGCAGACCGCAGCGTGTCTGTGCTGCCTGCTCGGCTCGGGGCGTGCGCCTCCAAGGGGGGCGCACGGTGAGCACAGCATGGTCCGGGCCACGTGATGCGCCTGTGTTCCACCACCACCGCCAGAAGTTGGAGGAGGAGGAGGAGGACGAGGAGGAGGATGACGAAGAGGATGAGGAGGAGGAGGAGGAGGAGGAGGAGGAGGAGGAGGAGGAGGACCCCCTCCCCCTTCAACGGAGGACGAGGACGAGGAGTTTGAGGAGGAGGAGGAGGAGGAGGAGGAGGAGGAGGAGGAGGAGGAGGACCCCCTCCCCCTCCAACTCATGGTGGTGGTGGTGGCAAACAGGCCCACCACTTCATGCGCGGTTCAAACGTCCGCCTCCCAGGGGGGGACGCATCGAACGAACTGACGCCTGTCCTCTCTGCGTCCCAGATTGGCCTCGCCGAGGGCAGCGTGGGACACCTCCTGCCCTCGCCGAGGGCAGCGTGCGCCTCCCGTGGGGGGGGCGCAGCGTGCTCGTCTGCTCCTCCTTCCTATCGCTTGGCATCGCTCGGACGTGTGCGTTTTTTCTTCGGCGAGGACCATCGAGGAGCATCCTTGATCATTTGGCGAAAAAACTACGCACGAAACCCCAAAAAAACACAGGGAATGGACGTCCGAGCGATGGCCAGATCGTCCCCAGAGCTCCGATGGATGCTGCCAGTGCGGGGCCCCCAGAAGTCTCGACCCATTCCCAGGGATCCGGTCTTGTATCCCGAGAAGGTCTGGGACGGCCCCGGGGCCCAGCGAGGGCCTCTATATGTAGAAGGCCGAAGACGGCGAAACAACGGCCGTCTCCAGTGTTGTCCTTACGATGGAGCTCAAAGTGCAGTCAACGCGCCTAGTAAGGACGCGCGCCTTCATCTGAGGTACCCTGGTACCCTTGAGTCCTGGCCTCTGCGGCCCGTCCTTTCACTGGTCGCCCGGCGCCCCAAAAATTACAACCTCGGCCTCCAAGGGTCTTGCGTCCTTACCACCCGTCCAGATTTGACGCTTTCACTATACGCTCGCAGGCGGTTTGTGTCCCCCAACCCCCGACTTTTCGGCGAAAAATGAAGCAGATGAGAAAAAAAGGGGAAAGGCTTGGATACACCCCAAGGGGGCTATTCAGACGCAACCCTATCGAGGATGGACGCCCCTCCATCGCATATCCCAGGGTTGGGCCCCAAGTTTCTGGTCTATCCCGAGACCCCACGCAGCCCGGGATAGGGGTCGACATCTCCCCTCTTCATTGTTTCGCCACGTTGGAACTCAGGGTGGCCTGTCCCTCTGTGTTCCTTGTTGCCCTCCCCCCGACCTTAATGGGCCCTGGAAGCGACAGGGCCGTTTTTGTGGCCGGTTCCGTTCTGCTGTTTCTTGTCGGTTCCGACGCAGTTTTTCTACCAGCTCCGTCGCCGTTTTTCTACCGGTTCCAGCTCAGGGCAGTTTTTGGCCGTTTCCCGTCGCCGTTTCTTTTTCTTGCCGTTCCTTTTTTTTCAAGAGACTGGTTCGTCAACGGTGAAAAAACAGCTCTGCCGTTTCCAGGGCCCTCGACCCCCGCGGGGCTCCCCCTCCTGTCGGGGAAACGCAGTACTCGAGTAAGCCAGAATTCGGGTTTGCCCTCGTTTTTTTGACGAGCGCGTCCGGGGTTCTGGCGGTCCAGTTTTGAAAATTTGACCGTCATGAGTGAACGTGGGTCTGTTAACCGACGCTCACGCAGCCAGACATGATAATCGCCGGTCCTGTGTTTCGAAAAACCAGTGCTGGAAACACCCGTCGTCGGTATCGGCAGTTTTCGTGGGATGTTTGCAGCGGGAACTCGCGTCAAATTTCAGATTGGGTCTCGTCGTTTTTATGACGGCCCCGTCGGGCCAGCCCGAGTCCCCCGTGCCCGAGTCTTACGTCTCCCCGTGCCCTGCGTCCGCGGCGGAGGTGGGGCCGCAGCGGGGCGCGGGCAGCGCCGTCCTGGTGTGACCTGGGCGGCGCGGGGGGGGCCCGCCCCCCTCTCCGGCCCGGTGGCGCGAAGGGGTCGGCAGGGCGAGGGTGATGGTGATGAT